TTGGGGTTTAAAAGCCACTGGGACATTGTGTTTAGAAAATAACGTCTCAGTTTCTCTGATACTCCCTCAACATATGGAATGACCACTGGTCTGGGTCTGGGTTCCTCCTTTTCACCTGTTGGCTGACTGGAGTCCTGTTTGGGTTTCTTCTCTGCTTTCAGGAAGGCCCAGTTAGGATATCCACATTGCTCTAGAGCCTGTCTTGTGTGGGATTTCTCCTTCTGCCTGGCTCCCGAGTTAGTGGGGACGCTGTCTGCTCTGTGGTACAGAGTCCTGATGACTCCTAACTTGTGCTCCAAAGGGTGATGGGAGTCAAACTGCAAATACTGGTCTGTGTGGGTGGGTTTGCGGTACACCTCGGTTTGCAAATGTCCTCTATCAGAGACTGAGACCTCACAGTCCAAGAAAGCCAACCTGCCATTTTTTACATCTTCTCATGTGAACTTGATGTATTTGTCCACAGAGTTGATGTGGTCAGTAAAATGACCATTGTAAACTAAACATAGTTTATGTTTTAGTTTACAATTTTTGTGTTAGACCCTTTGCCTCCTAGACTTATTCCAAGAGTTGTAACACTTAGCATTGAACAAATGGGGTTTTTAGTAGAAGAATCTGACAGATAAACTGGGCAGCAAAGCAAGTTGAAGTTGGGGTCAAACCACAAGATCCTAGGCCAGAAACTGCCTAACGCTGTACTTGTAAACGAAGAGATGATTGTGGATCATCAGAGAAAGTGATGGCTAACAGCGGGATAAACGGCAAATGTCCCTTGTTAGAAATAATTTAATGAAATTTATCAAAAGTCAATTGCAACCAAAGCAAAAAAGTATTTACAGTATTGCCCATTTATAACTATCACTTTATTATTTTTTTATTTTTTAAACTGCAATCCACCAAAAACATTGGAATTTTGATGGTGTGACCAGTCTTTATTGATATGACTGCAGAACTATATTAAAAATCAGGTCATTAAAATTAGATTGTTAAAACACTACAAAGGAAAACATTGAACAGTATTAAAAATGACAACTTAAAGCAAGGGTCTGCATCCTGCGGCTCTGGAGCCACATGCGGCTCTTTGGTCCCTCTGCAGCGGCTCTTTCAAGCTTTGACCAAAACTGACATACAACAAGTTTTATTGGTTGTTATCCAAACAACAAAAGTACTAGTTTTTAGCTGTTTTCCTGTCCTTTATTTTGCAAATACTCACTTTAACTTTTTGTTTTATGTCTATGCTTGATTATTTTTTTCCCCACAATTAAAAAAAAAAATCAAACGGGTCTGCATAGTTTGTTTGTATTTATTTATTTATTTATTTGTCTCCCCTCTTTACAATAATCTGGTCTTTTCATTTATCTTAAATTGTAAAAAATATAAAATGTTTAAAAATCATTAGATATTTTTAGCTTTAGAAATATGAGGTTTCACTTGCTCTACTGCGCCATCAAGTGGACTATAAATGTAAAACAGGTAGCTGGATTATAATAACATAACTAATTGGTTTGTGAAGCTTTAAGTTGAATTAAACAAATAAATAAATCATGTTTGTGAGGACCTCAAATAAAGTGTAAATTTGATCTGCAAATGATCTTAATTTGTCTTTATGATGAAGGTGATGATGGATTTTTCTGTCTGCCCCTTATATTTTGAATATCGCGCGTACAAATGAGCCAGTTCCTGAATCGGTCACATGGTACGGCCCTCTAGCGAGGCCTCGAACATCACTACATTCATCATCAATACACGCCTCGATACACGCTCAACATAAATCCTCCTGGATTACTCAGCACACACTTTGAAGCCTCAACACAGAAGGACACATCACTAGGCTATGGATAATGTGGTGCTGTCTAGGTTGACACACCTTTTGTAACATCACATGGGCATCAGGGTCAGTGCCACTGGATTGGCAGACTAGGGTGGTAGTTCCCTTCTTAAAAAAGGGGACCGTAGGGTGTGTTCCAATTATAGGGGCATCACTCTCAGCCTCCCTGATAAGGTCTATTCAGTGGTACTGGGGATACGAGTCTGATCGTTGGTCAAACCCCAGGTCCAGGAGGTACAATGTGGGTTCTGTCCTGGTCATGGAACATTGGACCAGCTCTTTACCCTCACTAGGATTCTCGAGGGGTCAGGGGAGTTTGTCCATCCAGTCTACATGTGTTTTGTGGACTTGGAGAAGACGTTTGATTGTTTTCCTTGAGATGCACTGTGAGGGGTGCTCTGTGAGTATGGGATTGGGGGGCCTGCTGCTATGGGCTGTTGGCTCTCTATAAAAGTGGTACGAGAGTTTGATTTGCATTGCCGGTAGTAAGTTGGACCCCTTCAGGGTGGGAGTTGCACTCAGCCAGGGCTGCTCGTTATCACCGATTCTGTTCATGACTTTCATGGACAGAATTTTTCGGTGCGGGCAGAGGGATCCCAGTTTGGTGGCCTCAGGATTCCATCTCTGCTCTTTGCTAGGGTAAAAAAGCTGGATTGCTTGGGTCAAGGGTAAAGTTCCGCCTCAAGAGGAGTTCAAGTATCTTGGGATTTTGTTCACGAGTGAGGGAAGAATGGCATGAGATTGACAGCTTGTTGCAGCATCTGCAGTATTGCCGATTCTGTGCTGGTCCATTGAGGGAGCTGAGCTGTAAGGGGAAGATCTCTGTTTACCGGTTGGTCTATGTTCCTACCCTCACCTATAGCCAGAACTCTGGGTAGTGATAAAAAGAATGAGATTGCGGATACAGGCGGTTGAAATTAGTTTCCTCCGCTGGACTCTCCCTTATAGATAAGGTGAGAAGTTCAGTTATTTGGGAGAGACTTTGAGTAGAACCACTGCTCCTCCACATCGAGAGAAACTAGATGAGGTGGTTTGAACATCTGGTAAGGATACTCCCTGGGCACCTTCCTAAAGAGGTGTTTCGAGCATGTCAGACTGGGAGGAAACCCTGGGGAAGCCCCAGAACACGCTAAAGAGACTATCTCTCAGTTGACCTGGGAATGCCTTGGAACATTCCCAGAAACCTGGAAGAGGTGGCTGTGGAAAGAGATGTCTGGGCCTCCCTGCTCAAGCTGCTGCCCCCGTGACTGACTTTGAAGTAGTATATTAAGTAGTATAAAAACTAGGAAACTTTTCTCAAATGATGGGGTGGCACCCCCCCCCCCCCCCCCCCCAACACACACACACAAATCACCAAGAAAGTTAAAACACACATAAGCTACATCTATAAATAGCTAATGAGTACAAATAGGGCTGGGCGATATATCAATATTTTAAAAATATCGACATGATTTCATATGCAACATAAGATGGGACTATATAGTCTATATAGATATTTCTATGTTGCCTTATTAATTATTTTTATTGTCCTATGTGTAGAAAAGGGGAGGAGTTGAAAACTTTGATAGCCACAGGGAGGAAGAACTTCCTGTGGTGTTCTGTGGAGCACCTCAGTGGTCTCAGTCTACGACTGAAGGTGCTGTGGTCCAGTGTGGCATGCAGTGGGTGTGATGTGGTGTTCAGGATCTGGAGCAGTTTCCATTTTCCTTTCCTTTTTCCTGCCCGTCTGTGCTGCCAACTGCACGCAGCGCCTCCTTCTCCCTCACTGAATACAAACCCAGCCCCTCATCCATGCTCTTCCTGCTTCTCCACGTGGGTGGGAGTTTAGAAAAACAAGTAAACACAGGACAGGATATTGAGAGCAGCTTAGCTGCTGAGCAAAATAAAAAACAATGGCTGTTCTTTGGAGATGGTTTGGATTTAAATTGTCAGATGGGCAGCAGAAAAATTGTTTTCTGTAGACAATGCCTAAAACAAGTCCCGACAAGAGGTCAGCACTACGAATCTTTTTCACCATTTAAAAGTTGCAGCTCCGACTGACTTTAGCCTCCTTCCCTGAGACATACCACGGGTCAAAACTAATTTAGCTATGCTGTGCCTTATGAGAGGAAAACTTTAGAGGTAGCGTGACATTAATAAAGCAGTGGCTTATC